CTCCCAAGCTGGAGTGCAATGGTGCAGTCACAGCTCACTGCAACCTCAAACTCCTGGGCTTAAGCGATCCTCCCACCTTAGCTTCTCAAGTAACTGGGACTACAGGCACATGCCACCGTGCCTAATTTTTAAATTTTTTGTAGAGATGAGATCTTGCTATGTTGTCCAGGCTGGTCTCAAATACCGACCTCAAGCAATCCTCCTGCCTTGGCCTCCCAAAGTGTTAGGATTGCAGATGTCAGCTACCACACCTGGCCAGGAACTACTTTCAATAAACCATTGTTCTATTTTTCCAAAACAATAGGTGAAAAGTAAAGTGACTTATTTCATGACTCTTAGAATGTATTTAATTTTTTCTTGAAATCAATTCAGTGAGCATAAGCATGTTAAGTATCTAGTCCAAAACCTAACATGAGCTATATGCGATTTGTTGAGCTCCGATCAGTTACTTCATGCCAGATGTCATTTAACCTGCTGTTCCTCATTCCTGCAGAATCTATACAAAACCAGCCTGCGCACCCTGCCCACTGGATATAGACTTCCAGGTGATACTCCTCACTTCAAACACATCAAGGATACCCGTTACATGAGCAGTTATGTGAGTAGTCTCCTCCTCATTGAGATGGGTCTGAAGATGGAGTAGGAGGAGACATATTAATAGCCTGTTCTAATTCTCCAGTCATACCCTAAAGGTTCAACCTGATATAATAATGGGAGCTGGGGAGGAGAGACAGCACATTTTTAGGGGTGCTGTGGAATTGACCACTTCTGCAATTCAGCAGTACCTGGGTAGCCCTGTGGGTTAGAATAGGATGTTCGTGGGCTACTTGGCTGAGGGCACACAGCTGTCATGATGCTTCTACTTCTGCTGGCCTTGCTTAGCACAGAAGCACCCTGAATTATCCCAAACCATTTACTGGAAATGCAACTTCACACACGTACCACTGAGGTGTGGTGATAGTATTGTCTTCCCTCTGCTATGTTTAACTGCAGAAGTTATAACATCCCCGTGTGTTCCTTCGAAAAGAAGACTTCTTGCCTAGCTGTTGGCTCTGATACTTATCTCACTAATCCTCTGTGCCCAGTTCATAGAAGACTAGAGGGGTAGATAGGCTCTTACTACCTTCAGCTTGCTCGGATAACGACACTCATGCTGCCCTTCTCCACTTTTTACAAGTACCCAATTGGGACTTGATGTATTTACCACATGGAGAAGGCTTAGGGAAGTTGTGGCCATCCCAGTAAGTCTGGCCTGCATACCACAACCAGCCACTGGTAGAATAATCAGCTCTCCCTCCACACTACCCTTCATAGTCCTGAAAATCTAACCTGCTGGCCATAAAGGACCCAATAGCTTATGGTTCAATAATGTACTTCCAAAGTAGACAGTCACAGCTTTACTAATCTAACACCTAAAGGATGTGTTAAAATCAATCCACGAGGCCACTCATCAGTCCTAAATACATTCTCTTGTTTCTTTGTATTTTCTAATTTTCTAGCCACATTAGGGCTAAAAATATAGATTTTTCTCTGTCATTTTGCATACCTCTCTACAAACAGATTTCACCTAGGAAATGTTGAATTTTATTGCTTTCTGGGACTGGTTTTATTTTTCAGCACATAATTTTCAAGGTCTGGATTAATAATGAAATTTTGTCCATGCTTTTCTTCATACTTAATTCTTTAAAAGAACAGTGTTTCAAATAAAGGTGACGTCTCTTTTCTATTTGGAGAAATGTAACGTCGCTCCTTGTTTACCCATCATTAATCTCGTTCTGACTTTGCTTTTGCAGTTCAAGTACAAAGAAGCCTATGAACACACCAAGGCATATGGGTATACACTCGGTCCCAAAGATGTTCCATTTGTCCACGTCCGGAGAGTCAACAATGTTACCAGCGAGGTACCTGAATGCTGATTCTCTGAGAGACATACTGAGTTTCAATGGCCATGGCTTTGTTTGAAATGCATTAAGAATTAATTGTATTTCCATTGTAAACTTACATACCATCAAAAAGGAAGAAAGTCCTTATTGTCACATTTTGATGCTGGCCTTTCTTGGCAGTGTTTTCTTGTTGTTGTTGTTGTTGTTTTTGTATTTGGTAATGCCTTGCAGAGACTCAGTTTCATAGATTATGATGCAAAACTTTTCTAAAGAAATAATTTCTTCTTTTGACATTTATGTTCAAATATCTTTAATAAGGTTGCATTTTAGTCTGACTCATGACCTTGGTTTTCTACACCAACTACTGGTTTGCATATCTGATCCTGCTATGCAACATCTGATAGAAAGTGGAAGGCTTTGTGCTCAGAATTCTTTATCTAAATGAAATAACTCTCGTTTTCTCCTTTTTTCCTAATCTCAAATCATTTTCTATATCCTTGATATTTCTTCCCCTGGCTCTTTATGTAAAATATTTTGTTGTTGATTAGTCAGTAGAAGCCCTCAACAATCCCCTACTAAATACCTATAATGATATTTCCTCCAATGTAGAGACTGTATCGAGAATTGTACCACAAACTGAAAGACAAGATCCATACAACTCCCGATACCCCTGAGATCCGCCAAGTCAAGAAGACACAAGAGGCTGTCAGTGAGGTGGGTATTTTAGAAAGACAGGGAGTGGAGACCTGTGATAATGTCAGTTGTTCAGTCTCTAATGCATGTGTTTTTGGGTATTTTTTTCTTTAGTTGATCTACAAATCAGACTTCTTCAGGATGCAGGGCCACATGATCTCTCTGCCATACACACCCCAAGTGATCCACTGCCGCTATGTGGGAGACATCACCAGTGATGTAAGCATCTCGTAGGGGTCTTTCTGGAGTAGTCTTACCAAGAGGCAGGCTTGCTTTCAGCAAGTAAAGCAACCAGTGGTCTTTGAATAGCCTTTTCTGATAAGCATTTCTAAACCAAGAGTACAAGTTGGAGGTAAGGCAGTGTGGAAGGAGGATGCCACAATTCTCCACCTATGGAAACAGAGGACCAATTGGGGAAGACAGAATTGCCATCATTCTTGATCACCTAGTGACCACTATTCTACATTCAACATGGAATCATTCCAACTCCTCACTCACTATGTGGCCTCCAACCCAGGTCATGATCAGTATTTTCCTCTGACTCATCCCTACTCCAACCCCCATTAGCAACTTCTTGATGCCATTTTTTCATTCTCCTTGTATGTTCTCTCCTTCTAAAAAACCAATCCATTCAATCTGTTCTTTTCTCCAATCAATATTATAGTAATAAAATAGCAGTGTTCTTTCCTTGGCTTGGGGCTAGAGACTTAAATGAAAAAACATGTGATTTATTTGGATGTAAGTAAACTAAGAGTACAAGGCAGATGAACTGGCGGCCAGGCACGGTGGCTCACACCTGTAATCCCAGCACTTTGGGAAGCTGAGGTGGGTGGATCATCTGATGTCAGGAGTTTGAGACCAGCCTGGCCAACATGGTGAAACCACATCTCTACTAAAAATACAAAAATTAGCTGGGCATGGTGGTACACGCCTATAATTCCAGCTACTTGGGAGGCTAAGGCAAGAGAATTGCTGGAACCTGGGAGGTGGAGGTTGCAGTGAGCTGAGATTATGGCACTGCACTCCAGCCTGGGTGACAAAAGCAAAACTCTGTCTCAAAAAAAAAAAAAAAAGTAGATGAACCAAAATGAAAGATACAGTAATAAAGAAGTGTTGCTACTCCATCTTTTGTGTTTCCTGATTTACATTTGCTTATGACCAGCTATATTTCTGTGTTTGCCTGTCAGATTAAATACAAAGAGGACTTGCAGGTCCTGAAGGGACTTGGCTGCTTCCTGTATGACACTCCTGACATGGTCCGCTCCCGGCACCTGCGGAAGCTCTGGGTGAGTGCACATCATCACAGTGCATAATTAACCCTGCACAGCTGGATGCACCCATTATCCAGCCTCCAGGGCTAGGCAGAAGGGATCTTAGCCTGCATCTACTTTTAAGGGGAAATTTACCATTAACCCACGTGAGCAGGTTATCACCTGCTTATTATGATCTGTGCCTCCTGTGAAAAGTACTGAGCTTAGTTAAATGACAATTGTTGTTTCTGCCTGAGAAGTCACCCAGGACACATGAAGGCCCTGCTCAGCTTACACATGCCAGACATTTGAAAGACAGTATGATATGAATTCCTTAAGTGATTAATCAACTTGTATTTCTGTTTTTTTTTTAAGTCTAATTACTTGTACACTGATAAGGCAAGGAAGATGCGAGACAAATACAAAGTGGTGCTTGACACTCCAGAATACAGAAAAGTGCAAGAACTGAAGACACATCTGAGTGAGGTAAGGACACTTTACTTGTCACTAAAGTCAACCAAATTGACCAGTACAAACGGAATTACTCCACAAGTGATCGCTGTTCAGGCAGCTGCAGCAGGTAACATATTACCCCTCTTAACTGTGGAATGGCTAATATGTCTAAGCAAGTCAACTGACTGCACTTAACCTCACTTTACTTATTTTGCCCCTTTTGTTAAGTTATGCATATTAATACTTGCGCTTCCTATATCTAGGGCTGATGAGGTGTTTTACTTGATTTTATAGATTAGAAAGACCTTCTTACTTATTTTTATTGTCTCCAAACTGATCTTGTTTCAAAATTTTCTTTTGCTTTGATTCCCACCATCAGGAGCCCTGAGCACGGCAGTGCCATTGGAGAAGTCTTCAGTGGCTCCTTGCTCTGCTGCACACTCAATAAACTGCAGGCTACTTAGTCTCATTTTCATCTGGCACTGAGGCTCCTGATATATTGCAGTTATTTGTGAATAGATCTGATCCTCTCCGTAGACTGCTGGTTCCTTGATAACTGAACCCCATGTTATTTACATGTGTCCCATAGTAACTTGGCTATAATAGATGTGCATGTTTGCTAAAGGGCATTTCACAAGCGTAAATGATTGCTCTTCATATGGGTCAGCTGGCTATTCCCATTCTACTGTCACTCTGGTATTGTAGCTCTGTTCATCAGTTTGTACATTCACCATTCTGTACTGTGGCTTCACCCAGCTGAGCACTGGCTTCCAGGCCATTTCACCCTTCTCAGTAGCTCTGATGGCTGCTGATGAGGAATCTTATGCTCTTAGCGATGCCCTGAAATACCACATCACCCTTAGTGGAGGGGATATGCAGCTTCCTATACTCAGTGAGCCAGAGACAAAGGATGACTAACTCTTCAGCTTTTGCAAATGCAACATTGAGCCCATTTGCATTCCTGCAAGCTTCTCTGTGTCATTTAAGCCAGTGCTTACACTCAGACTGGAACACTTGTGTTATTTTTATCCCAGTAAAGTTGTGCTTTTCCACTCTGGTTCAGCATGAGAATCACCTGTGGAATATTTAAAAACCACCCAGAGAGGGCTCTGACCCCTAGTTCCACACCAGACTCAGATTTTCTGTGTCTGGGTATCTGTATATTTTCAGATGCTCCACAGAGATTCTACTTAACAATACGCAGGCTGTGTTGAAAACCACTGCACCACATCTCTTCTCCAGCTACCAAATAATAATAATAAATTGGTAACTTACAGTGCTTCAGAATAAAGATAACTCTGAAATACCTTTACTCTTTTTGGCTTTCAGGGTTCAGAATTATCTAAAACTTTAGTTTCTCCACTTCTCGATTCCGAGGGGGATTTTGTGCCAATTGTGCATCAGCACTGAGGAAGAGGAATGGATACTTTTCAGTAGTGCAGTTTTTTTGTCTCTTCATAACAATGACCCAGGCTTGATAAAATGCTTATCCAAGGCACTCCCCTGAATTCAGAAGGGTTGGGATAGAGCCTACAAATCTGTTTTTAATAAGAACCTTCCTGGGTTTTAATATCAGGAAAGTTTGGAAAACATTGAGTTAGTAAAAAGTTTGATGGCCAAAAGAAGTTCAAGTTACTGACTTTTGAGCTGTCTTTCAATTGTATAGATTCTTGACATACACACATTTGTAGTACTAGGAAGCGGGGTGTTGTTTCAAGAAGCATAAGCATTGCACACCTAAGTACAGGGGAAATAAAATACACAGAGAAATGTATAATTCTAGAAATGGCATAGAGGCCAAGCACAGTGGTACACACCTATAGTCCTAGCTACTTGGGAGGCTGAGACCAGAGGATCACTGGAGTGCAGGAGTTTGAGGCCAGCCCGGGCAATACAGTGAGACCCTGTCTCTAAAACTACATAAACAAAATAAAAATAAGAAAAAAAATGGCTTGGGAGAATTGGTTTTTAGTCCCAGATTTACTTCCGGTTAGCTATATGACCTTATGTAATTCACAACTTTAGCACCATAATTTCCTAAAGAATTGAACTAAATGATGATTTGAGCTCTTTTTAACCATAAAATTCTATGAGTTGTTGATTTACTTTACTAAAAATTGAGCGTGGAAGAAACATTAGCTTTCATTTAGTTTATCTCTTTTTTTTTTTTCAATAGTAACACACACAAAAGCCCCAAACACATGAGCTACACTTTTCTTTTAACTTGCAGTGGTATGTAATTTGGATTTAAAGAAATTGACCTCTGTGTGCGTGTTTAAAATATTTCTTACATTTTATCTGTTCAACTGGTATTTATATCCGTGATTAGAATCTATTTGGTATCCATTTGTTCTTTCTCATTTGCTTCATTATGTTAAATTCCTTCAACATTTATTAGGGAACTGCTATTTTTTAGATCCTTTGAGCTCTAGTTGATGAAATGATCATAGCACTAAACTGCCACGCCCTAGTCTTGAAGAAGAAACAGGCATCAGTGTGATAAATGGTCTCATGTAGGAATAGTCAAAATAGCATGGACTCTTGGAGTTTTCCAGGCAAATAAGAGGGAGAAGAACACTCAAGGCAGGAAGAACGGTATGTGAAAGCAGCCATAATGAGTTCTAGGAACTGGGACTAGTTTACATAGCACACGAGGGGTGTGGAAGAACACTGGGAAATTATAGAAACATGGGTTGGAGCCAGGTATAAAGACTTGTAGGTGTTCTGTAAATGACCTTGGACTTAATGAAAAATCATTGAAGAATTATTTCTAGGAAGAATAGATTTGAGCATTAAGAAAATATGTGTCTCAGGCTTTTGAAAGATGGGTGAACCGTGGAATGGTCCAATAGAGGAGCTGAGCAGGTGGTTTTGACATGTAAAAAATAAGACGGAAGGCTGAACTAGGGCAGTGGTGTTGGCAAAGAATCAGATTTCAGGAATATCACAAAGTTAGGAGCCCAGGATTCATGACCATTTTGATGTAGGAGCCTAGGATGACTCCCCCAGTTTCTGGCCTGAGTAATTGGGGTATCAATGAGTCATTTAGCAAAGTAGAGGAAATAGGAGAAGCAGCAATTTGAGATAGAGATAGAGGCAATATAAAGAACTACACATTGAACATAGTAAATCACCCAAATTCAAAAAGTTGTTGAAAACTTGGATCTGGAGCTCAGGAGAGGCACTGGATATGTAGATTTGGAAGTCATCAATCTCAAAGTGATGCTTGAGATCACAGGTACAGATGAGATCACCGCAGGAGGATGTATGGGGTGAAAGGGGCCAATCCTTCACTCCAGCAGCCTTTGCATAAGGGCAGAACCACAGAGGGAGGCTGATGAGGAGACCTAAAAGACAGGAGGCCACCTAGGGAAGAATGCTGGAATGGAAGCCAGAGAAGAGAGTTTTCAGGAATGAACACTGAGCAGCTTCAGTTGCTACAGAGAAGTGTTATTGTATTTGGCAATCGTGAAGTTCTTGGTAGTCTCAACGAGAGTGACTTCATTGATGTGGGTAGGTGGGAGCCAAACTATGGTCTTGAGAAATTAATTAAAATAGAGGCAAAGAAGAAACACAGGCAACTTGACTGAGAAAAGAAGAATGAAGTCCATTGTCTGGAGGCTGGAAAAGGCTTAATTAATGACAGAGGTGGGGGGGTGCGGGGAGAGGTCTTGAGTCTTTTTGCAAATGAAGAGAGAGGGTTGGGAAAACAGGAAGGGTAGAAGATACAGAGGAGAAGCGGACAGTTGCTGGAATAGGGTGCTAGAATGGGACCAAGAACACAGCAGGAGGCTTGCATTTTGGATAGGCTAGAGAATGTCTCTTGTTTTGAAACAGAGGAAAAAAAGAAAGGAAAGGTGCAGAAGATAAATAAAAGGTTGGTTTATTGGGACGAAACTGCAATTGTTGCAGTGGGAGGGCCCCTGCCTTTTCCATATGAAAGCAGTGAAGGCATCTGCAGAGAATGCCTTCATGGTCATGTAGCAGAAATGATGCTGATGACTTGGTTTATGTCTAGCTGGTCTACAGAGCTGCAGGCAAGAAGCAGAAGTCAATCTTTACTTCAGTTCCTGATACTCCTGATCTTTTAAGAGCCAAGCGAGGACAGAAGCTTCAGAGTCAGGTAAGCTGAGAAGTTCACACACCTGCCAGTTGGGCATCACAGGGGCTGTTATGTGTGCCTGGCCTCTCTTGGCCAGTGGCAGACTCACACACTTGGTTGTCCTGGCTGCAACCTCATGCTCATTAACACTGCACTTGAAGAAGCAGTTCTCTTTGGGGCCGTGATAACTATGGTTGTGTTTTACTCAGGCAAGGGATGCCACATCTTCTTTCCTACATGCCATAAAACTTGTGTTTGGAGTCTGTGGACTCAAAGTCATGAAAATGATTGCTTGATCATTCTGTGGGATCTTCCTGTTATCCACAGACAAATAAAGCCGTATTTCATTCATTCAAGCAAAAATGAGGAAAATATGTTGAGGAATCTATGGGAATCCTCTCTCTCTTCTGTTAGCATTCTTTATCATATGGCTTTGATTGGCTCATACTCAGCAGTAGGCATATTAGATAACTGGGGTATGTATATGTGTTTTCAAACATGAGACACAGGGAGAAGCAAATTAACAAAAACACGTGTAAGAAAAAAAGAAGCAAACATCAGGACTGTAAACAGTTACCACCTACCCACTGAATGGTTAGAAATGAAGTGGAATAAATGCTAAATACTAAATGCTTTATCTCCATGACACCTCACTTTCTTCTCTTATTATTCAGTATCTGTATGTTGAACTTGCCACCAAAGAGAGACCCCACCATCACGCTGGAAACCAGACCACAGCCTTGAAGCACGCTAAAGATGTGAAGGACATGGTCAGCGAGGTAAGACGGGAATTCAGCACTGAGGCACCAGGTAAAAGGAAAAATACTTTGTTAAAACCTTCCCCTGCTACCTCCGATCAGAGAGCTCATTACTATAAATGGTGCTCAGCATCATCAAAACACAAAAGAGTGAGCTATTCTCTTAAAGAGTGTAATACATTGTGCCCCTCCACCAGACCTGTGGCTTGGTTGGGAATTGGGAAGACACTTAAGCTGTCTCTCTCTCTTCTATTTTTATTTCTCAGAAAAAATACAAGATTCAATATGAAAAGATGAAGGACAAGTACACTCCGGTTCCAGATACGCCAATCCTCATCAGAGCCAAGAGGGCTTACTGGAATGCCAGTGACGTATGCATCCCTTCCTTTTTTCTTCTGTTGTGATAGGGAGAGCTGAGGTTGAAGTACCTAAGACAGAACGTATTTCAGCCATATCCATAGTTCTAAGTCATGGCCGAGGAAAAAAAAACACAAATTTTGTCGGGCGTGTTGGTGTGTGCCTGTAGTCCCAGCTACTTGGGAGGCTGAGGTGGGAGGATCGCTTGAGCCCAGGAGTTCTGGGCTGTAGTGTGCTATGCCACTCAGCTGTCCGCAGTAAGTTAGGCATCAATATAGTGACCACCCGGGAGCGGGGACCACCAGGTTGCCTAAGAAGGGGTGAACCGGCCCAGGCTGGAAATGGAGCAGGTCAGAATTCCCATGCTGATCAGTAGTGGGATCGCACCTGTCAGTAGCCACTGCACTCCAGCCTGGGCAACATCTCAAGATTCTGTCTCTAAAAAAAATAAAAATAAAAATAAATGACATTTTTTTAAAGAGAAAAATATGGCCCAAATAATACAAGTCAGGCAAAATAGCTGAGAGATACCAGAAGCCTATCCTTCTCAATTCTCTCCTGAGCAAAAAGAGGACGCTTTATTGTAATTCTTCAGTAGCATTTTCTGGGGATACTTGACAGTTAATTTATTTATCCATAAAATTATGGTCTTGGAGTCAGCCAGACATGGATTCAAATCCTGATGCTGTTATTTGCCTGCTGCATGATTCTATATCATTTGTCTGATTTTTCCAAGTCACTCTTCTTACATGTGGAATGACCATGAGAATTGTGATAATTAAATGAAACCAAACAAGATAACGTATATGTGTCCAGCATGCTGCTGGGCTCCTAGCTGACACTTAGAAGATGTTTGTTCCCTTTCTTCACTTAATTGTATGTAGATCATCTGAATGATGCATGACACAGTGGTTAAAATTAGGGGGGACAGACGTTCATTTTCCATATCACACAACTGAGGGCAAGGCTGCCTTTTAATGGTAATACAATCATCTGTTAATGAAGATGTGAAATAGTGAATCCGAGGTAAATGGCCATTCCTTATGGGTTTTGTGTCCTAGCACCCAACCAGGAATTCACTGTACCCATTACCAGAACCACACCCTTACAGGATTAGATATGCTGGGACTTAAACTGAGCAAAAAATCAAGCCAACTTCATGACCTGTCAACTTAGCAACATAGCTCTAGGATTTCAAGGCATCTTACGGTAATTGCACTAAGCCCTAAGCAGAAAAGAGCAGGTACAGCAAATTTGAACAATATCTCAGTTCCGTAATTTTGTTAGGATTTTTTTATTTGGAGCAGAGAAGAGCCTACTAATTAGAAAAAAGGCAATTTTTTAAGCCAGTTAGTGCTTAAAATATAAGCTGGGAAAAAATCATATACTCCCCTCAAAGTCTACCTTCTAGGATATTTTTAGTCTTCTTGTGACATCCTTCATCATGATCACTTCAAGGTTACTGTTGAATATTTATTTGAACCAAGCTGAATTAATATCTTAGAGCAGTGGCCACACATTGAAATTGGCCCTGGGATTCATTATGCCCCTAGGACAGCTCCATCCCTAGGGCTTGATCAGTAGCAAATCTGATAATTCTAATCTTCATAATAGTCTAATGTAACAGGGTAGTATCTGGCATTTAATTCAGTGTATTAAGCATGGCTAACCCCACAAGTAGATCTAGGCAATCTTATGAGATGATCTATCTAAAAAACAAAATTACAAAGTCAAAGAAAAGACATCTTTCATTGTGTATTTGTTCATCTATCCCCAAAGAAAATAACTGTTTGAGGTTGAAAATAAGCTGTCATCTTGTGTAGAGGAAATGACTCTTCTATGATATTCTCAGGTTAGAATCAGAGCTGTTTTCTCTTGAAATATCACAAAAGTAAAGATTATAATGAAATAAAGTTTTAAGACTGCTTAGTGCAGAAAGCATTTAATACTAGGAGTTTGTTTGGGTTTTTTCCCTCTCAAATGAGCTTTTGGTTTATGTTTTACATTTAAATAAACTTTGTAAGTAGTTTAGATTTACAGAAAACTGGCAAAGATAGTAGAGTTCTCACATGCCCCACACCCAGGGAACACCTATGTTCTCTAGTTGCCAACACCTGTATCACCATCAGATTTGTCATGACCAATGAACCAAGACTGATAGATTATTATCAGTTAAACTCCATAGTTGCTTTGGATTTCGTTAGTTTTCCCTAGTGCTTTTTTTTTTTTTCTCTTCTAGGATCTGAAATAAAAGCTTTTAAATTTTTCCTAAATGTATTCATGGGAAAACCAAAGAGAGAAGATGAGAGTTCAGGCTTAAAAGAGCTCAATTATTTAACTTGATAGTTTTTGTAATTCACGTGCTTTTTCTCCTTCTAGCTACGCTACAAAGAAACATTTCAAAAGACCAAAGGGAAATACCACACGGTGAAAGATGCCCTGGACATTGTCTATCATCGCAAAGTCACTGATGACATCAGTAAAGTATGTCCCTAAATATTTCTACTTGTGTTGCGCTCTACAACTCACCATATACATATATATTTTTTAGCAACCTCCCTCTTCTAAAATTCTCCAGAGAGAAGTAGGCATATTTACATTAACTTTGGGTAAGACTTATAGCTGTCTTTGTTTTGTATAACAGATAAAATACAAGGAGAACTACATGAGCCAGTTGGGTATCTGGAGGTCCATTCCTGATCGTCCGGAGCATTTCCACCACCGAGCAGTCACTGATGCAGTCAGTGATGTGAGTGTTGACATTTTCTATTTTCACATATAAATTCATCTTCCGGCCAGGCGCGGTGGCTCACGCCTGTAATCCCAGCACTTTGGGAGGCCGAGGCAGGCGGATCACAAGGTCAAGAGATCGAGACCATCCTGGCCAACATTGTGAAACCCCATCTCTACTAAAAAATACAAAAATTAGCTAGGCATGGTGGCGTGCGCCTGTAGTCCCAGTTACTCGGGAGGCTGAGGCAGGAGAATTGCTTGAACCTGGGAGGCAGAGGTTGCAATGAGCCAGGATCGCGCCACTGCATTCCAGCCTGGCGCCTGGTGACAGAGCAAGACTCTGTCTCCAAAAAAAATTAAAAATTAATTAATTAATTAATCTTCCTATATAAGCTCTGAAATCATACACTGCATAACAACTGAAGAAACACTTGGCTAGATTTTAGATTTTGTGTGTGAATGTTTAAATCATAACAATTGCTAAGTGACTGAATTTCAACTTGGGAGAAGGAAATATATATTCAAATTTATAAACCTAATTCTTCTCCTAGATGTATGATATCATATTACAGGACTGAAAGTGATACACATCATCTAGGAAATAGCCTATTTTTGATCCACTGAAGTGACAACTTCATGAAGCAATTAAGACACATAACAATGCTCACTTAGAAAGTTCAGCTCTGTGTATGAAAATATAGCTGCCAAGCTAATGATATACTCTCTAGGAAAGTATGCCTGTTAGATTTGAATTGCTTTAATTAGTATCAAAAATGGTAAACTTCCATATGTTATAAAACAATATACCATAAAATGAGCAGAGGTCAGTATTACTGGAAATTTTTTAAATCATTGTTTTAATACTTTATTATTTCATATGCTTCATATGGGGCAGGGCTTCTGTTTTTTCCACTTGTATAGATACTAACTTGCTGCTGTTCAGAGGTGGCTTCTTAGAACTCTTTGATGATATTCTTCTTCTCCCAGGTAAAATATAAAGAAGACTTGACTTGGCTTAAAGGCATTGGTTGCTATGCCTATGATACCCCTGATTTCACTCTGGCTGAAAAGAACAAGACTCTATACAGCAAGGTATATATACTCAAGGAGAATTGGCTACATCCATTTGACATATACCTGAACCCACAGAGAGAATTAGCACTGAGGAAATAGTCTTTCTTGTTTCCATCCCTATCCTGGCTTCTAGACCTTATAGTTTGAGTACATGTTGAGTTGTTCATCCTTAGAAAACTCTTGGATGTTAACCTCATTGACCAAAGGCATTTATTTGAATTTGATGAAAAGTCATCTCAGGACAACCCCTCACGATCCTTCTAGAACTCTCTCCTTATTAATATGTCTCTGGGTGGTTTCTCCTATTAAAGCTAATATGATAGCCAATATAAAATGGGGTTATTTTAATCCACAAATAATATATGAGGCAGACCACCTAGTTTTTAATGGCCTCATTTTCCTATTTACAAAATAAAGCAATTCAGTTCACTTTCCTTTGAGCTCTACAATAGAATCCAGCAAATTTTTTTTTAAATGCCAAATAGTAAATAAAACATAGAAGATGTTGGCTAAATTCATTCTAGGGAATATTCTTCTTTGTTTGTTACACCACCACGGAATGGTGAAACCCATTCTAATTCATGAAGCTGTTTAAAACAGGTGGCATGCTAGATGGGTCATACTCCACACCTACTCTAGAAGATTATGCTTATCTGATTAAGTACTGGAAAACTATCTTCAAATTAATGTACTAAAAACCTCCTTCAAGTGTACATAAAAATATTTTCAAATTTAAATAATAATTATATAGAAACAAACTAAACATTGATTTAGATTTTTGCCCAATATGGAAAATAAACCCATTCGGCATCCATTCAGTGTAAGTGTTTTCTAGTGTATACTTTTGGGCTAGTTTTCAAGACATCTAGGCAGTTCTGCCCTTCGTTGCCTTGGAAGCAGAGTAAGCAATCATGTTAGCTTGGCTGGGTTCTGTGGCTCATGCCTGTAATCCCAGCGCTTTGGGAGCCCAAGGCAGGTGGACGGCTTGAGCCCAGGAGTTTGAGAACAGCCTGGGCGACGTGGCAAAACCTCATCTTTACAAAATATACATAAATTAGCCAGGCATGGTGGTGTACCAGCTGTAGTCCCACCTACTTGGGAGGCTGAGGTAAGAAGACTGATTGAGCCCAGGAGGCGGAGGTTGCAATGAGCTATGATTGTGCCCTGCACTCCAACCTGGACAACAGAGCAAAATCCTGTCTCAAGACAAATGTGTTGGTTCTATGAATTACCACAATTATATGATATGATAAACAGCATGTCTTATTCTTAAGATAATCACAGCCTGCTATCAAGTAACCAGGTTCCATTTTTTCTAGTATAAGTACAAAGAAGTATTTGAAAGGACAAAGTCAGATTTCAAGTATGTTGCAGACTGTCCGATCAACAGGCATTTCAAGTATGCAACTCAACTGATGAATGAGGTATGAATGAACTGCTCCAATTAAGTCTATTCATTTCCTTAAGAAGTCTTTGAGGTTTTTTAATTAAAGCTCAATACATAGAATGACAGGAAAGCCATCCTAAGTTTTCAGTTTAACTAAAGATTTGGAAAAGATTCTATGATGTTACCATCCAACAAGCTCTGCCAAACTACAAATAAGAACACGTGAAGAGACCGTTCAATGGTGGGAGAGCCCTGCAAACATCAGCACCTCTGCACAAACGCAGGGCAGTGCAGCCCTGCAGGTGACAGTACCAGGGAAGTAAAGGATTTTCTTGACTGTCAGTGGAACTCCCTTATATAGAATATTGTATAGACTTGGGAGACGCAGAAGTTCAAGGTTAATTTACTATCCTCTACTGAGGCACCAAGATGTCAGTGGTTAGAAGAGCCACCCTAAAGGGATAGTTGTGATTCATGCTTCAAATTTATTGCCATGGTTACTCCCACATATATTGGTACACAGAAGTATCCATTTGCATCTAAATTTTTTCTATTTTATCTAGCCTTTCCTTTAAATTATCCTTGCAATAATTTTAAATTATCTTTGCAATAATTTAAATTTAGCTCAAGATGGCTGAAATAAGCAAGCTATGAATGTACTTAGTTTGGATGGTTTTACAATGTTGGGATGGTTTTATAGTTAAAATTGTATTTAATTTCCTATTTTCAGAGTTTCCACAGGTTTATATAAGTTCAAAAATTATGTTAGAAAATTAGTAAAATGTATCTAAAAATGAAAATGTAGGCAATGGCATATTTGCTTAAATGTATGACTTTTTTGTTTGTTGTCTTTACATTTGATTTAGTTTACTTTCAGTAGATTTCCAGACTGGACCACCCTGAAGAATTACTGTCAGTAGCTTCATATGAGTATAATCTTGATATATTTTGTTTCTTTTTTTCTATTTCATGAAGAATTTCCAGGTCTCTTTTATAATCCAATAAGTTAACTAGCATTAGAAGACTATTACAAATTTCCCATGGATATTTTGGCATCAGTTATGCTTTCAGATTCTCACAGCCTTAGATAGTAAACCTGCAGCTTATCAGTACCCTATTTTAAATACACCATTAGATGCCATAAACCTAACATTGCTAATGGCATCATAAAGATGGAAAATGTTTAGACACAAGAAACGCCAATTTCAGTGTCATAAATCTGACCTATCCCATACTCCAGCCTTCTCCAGGTGATCTTCCTCTACTTGACTCTCTTTGCTTCCCTGTTTTTATTGTCTTGGGTATGTTGGGAGCCTGCCTCTAGAGATGACATGTTCTGGCTCTCTGGAGTGTTTACCTTGAGACATTTCTGTGTAGCCTTGAAGTTGTGCTCTTGCTATAATATGCTATGATGTTTGAGCAGAAAAAATACAGAGCTGATTATGAGCAGCGGAAAGATAAATACCACCTGGTAGTCGATGAGCCTAGACATCTGCTGGCTAAGACCGCAGGCGACCAGATCAGTCAGGTACTGTGATGGGGCTGGCCAGTGGCCCAGGCAGGACTGTGCTCCCGGTTTCTCATGATGTCGTCCCGTCTGCTGCAAGGATGTCATAGGTTCTGCCTATGATATTGGGCCGTTCTGTTTCAAAATATCTGTCTAGCCACCCAAAGAGCCTGTCAGCTATTTGAGTGCGCCAGTCCATGCTCTGTGTTCTCACTTGTGCTGTGGTGAAGATGAAAAGCTGGGTCCTCCCATCCTTTACTCTTCCAGAGAACCTGTTTGAAAACTGCAATTGTAAACTGTAGATTGAGTTGTAAAAGCAAAAAATAAACAAATGAACAAAAAACAAACAAAAATTAATGGAAGGAAAGAAGATGGAACTCCTTACTATATATCTTTCTATTCCAAAGATGTCTCCTTTCCTATATAACTATTTTGGTGGTAACATAAGTGAAACTAGCTATATCATTCCCCATTCACAAGGGCTATGAATGGCCAGCCACAAGAAATGCAATCATTCTGCCTCACATTATGATGTATTTGACGTCTTCACCCACACATATGTGAGTACATAAAGTGTGTATGCCTACATCTCTTCACTCAGAGGTGATTGGGATATAGAGCCATGTTCTTTTCTGTCTTCATGAGTCTCTTTTGTGCTTCACTGCTCTTTGCATGGACAGAGAAAATATAAATCTAGTGCCAAGATGTTTCTGCAACATGGATGTAATGAAATTCTACGTCCAGATATGTTGACTGCTCTCTACAATTCACACATGTGGAGCCAGGTAATGTCTGATGGGATATGAAGAAGGAGGTTTAGACGTCTTGGGTGCATTCCCTTGTATGCTTTCATTGATTTCCTCTCCCACTCCCTGCCCATGCTGGCCTCACATGGTAAAGCTACATAAATATTCATTCCTTGTAAATGTAAATGACCTCTGAATGTGGCCAAAGGTGATGGGACAGCGGTCATCTGTACATCATCTGATGCTTTCAGAACTCTTAATAAAATCAACTGACTCTTTCAAGCGTTATTTCCAAATTGGTTTAACTTTAATTTAAACTTTTTGGTATTTGCCTCAAAGAAATAGATTCCTTAGAGATTGAAGATAGTAAGTAGATTCAACAGAATGTAAAAGGTCTGAATATTTAATGTTTTCATCGAATGTGTCCCTTGTTCAATTATCACTACAACTGTTGCAGGGACATGAGGATTGCTATGCAGCTCTATGAATATTGTATATATTCATGGTGCCTGTTGACTTTGATGCTGAATTGCTAGGTTATGTCCAGCACATCTGATCCCACACACACTCGTTAACAGTGTCTCTGATAATCATGCCTTTTTAGAAGGCCAGCTGAAGCATGCACTTTCCAGCACATGCTCAAAGGTAAATTTGACTCAGCAATAAACAGTGATAATTGGTTAACTACCAGACACAATGTTAGTAAAACGCCATTTTCCCAGACCAAAAAAAAATAGTTATTAATCAAGCTTTTCTATTAGCAACTTGTTTTGTCATTTTAGTTTACCGTCAAATCAATATGTGAAATGAGGAGGTTAAGCTCTCCCTGTAAACATCCTGAACGTCCTCCTTTGTCTTTATATGACCATCAAATAGTTGTGCATGAAATTTTATGGTGCTGTCTGTATCTGTCCTGCTTAAAACAGCTTCTGTGCATGAAAATGACTGACTTGAAAATTGCAAACACAAATGAATTTTTTAAAATGATAAATAGTTTATATATTCATTCTTTATTTTACATCCCTGTTTGATTTGTGATGTGGCAAAACACTTTTGGAGATTGTTCATATTCAATACAATATGTTGGGAGTGAAACAACACTTGTCAGACTCCAGAGAACAGGTTCTAGTCCTGCTCTGAGATTCAGTCTAACTGTGCTCTTGGGTCAGTCTTGTAACCTCTGGGGCTCTCCGAATCCATGTGTATAAAACATATTGGAAATTATTCGTAGTAGTATTATCTGCTCCATTACATTTCTGCTATAAGGCACAAATTTATATTAAACATTTCCAGTTAGGATTCAAAGACAAAGCTACCATGACCCCACCTCCCACTCTAGTGTTTTTCAAGAGGACAGTTAGATACCTTAAAGCCCTCTCTACAGCTTCTTAGAGCTAACTCTTTCTTCTCTTCCACAATTTAGATCAAATATAGGAAAAACTATGAAAAATCAAAGGACAAATTTACCTCAGTTGTGGACACTCCAGAACACCTGCGTACTACAAAAGTCAACAAACAAATCAGCGATGTAAGTGCAAAAAATGCCGTATACCTTTTCAAACTCAGGGGACATCTGCAAACATGGAGGGGCATTTTAAGTTGTCACAAAGTCTGGGAGACTATTGTCATTGGAGACTACTGTCATTTAGTGGGAGGGATGCAGGGGTGCGAGATGTCCTGCTATGCACAGGAGTCTCCTTCCCAATAAAGAGTTGTTGTGGACGGGTGCGGTGGTTCACCCCTGTAATCCCAGCACTTTGGGAATCCAAGGCAGGCAGATCACTTGAGACCAGGAGTTCGAGACCAGCCTCCTGGCAAAATATGGCAAAATCCCATCTCTACTAAAAATGCAAAAATTAGCCAGATGTGGTGGTACACGCCTGTGGTTCCAGCTACTCAGGAGGTTGAGGCATGAGAATTGCTTGAGCCTGGGAGATGGAGGTTGCAGTGAGCCAAGATCACACCACTCCACTTCAGCCTGGGTGGCAGAGTGTCTCAAAAAAAAGAATTGTGACCACATGCAAGCTGGAAACACTGAGGTCTTAGCAGAGAGCATCAAAGCACCTGTCAAATTCACAGAATTCTCTTTCCTTTTTATCCACTCAGAAAAACACTTTGCATTTATATTTTGATATTATTCATTGAGAAGCATGACATGATGTCTTTCTGCTTTTTAATCTCTTTCAGATCCTTTATAAATTGGAATACAACAAGGCCAAACCCAGAGGCTACACCACAATCCACGACACACCCATGTTGCTGCATGTCCGCAAGGTTAAAGATGAAGTCAGTGATGTAAGTACCAGAATAGCTTAGCAGTCCCGCTCATCTTCACCTCTTTCTCATGTGATATAACAAACCCTGGTCCACTTATCTATTCCTGTGTAACAACCACCCTAAAACTTAGTGACTTAAAGTAACAGTCATCTCTTTTGCTCATAATTCCGTGAGTTGACTGGACACAGCTGAGTAGCCCTACTCCCCATGTTGCTGGCAGACACCTGGGGCTCAGTCAAGTCAGGACATCCAGATGGCTCACCCCCATGGCTGGCCATTGGTGATGGCTGTGGGCTAGGAGCTGGGCTATTGTATAGATGAGACAGGAACCCCTTCATGTGGCCTCTTCACATGCCTTGGACTTCTCCCCAGATGGCTCTCCACATGGCTTAAACGTTTCCTGAGGTACTAATTTTTTAAAAATGAATTTCCATGACTGTTTCCTAAATATAGTGATGAGTAAATTAGTAAACTAAGTCTATGGCGAAGCCCAGAAAACTATGATTCCTATGATCAGTTTAGTAAACCCCATGATGGCCTCCTTGGAACAGTTTACTTTGGACTTAGTCACATTAAAACCTAGGATCCTTCCCCAGTGATTAATGAGAAAGCCCAGAGCAACACCTTCGACCCTGAAATGTAAGAAGAGCAAAAGTGAGTGAAGCTGGAATCCCCAGGCTCAGGATGGAAAAACCACCTGTTGGGCCTGCAGAGGCTAAGCCTTCCCTGTGCTTCTCCCTCCTATCCAAACCCACACATACCAAAACTTGCTAGGTATGTCTCTAGCAATGACAATGACAATATATGGTTCCATATATTTTTAAAAGGCAGAATGCTGGCTGTATCCATCAGTTCATTCATTCGTCAAATATTTATTGAGTGTCTATGTGCCTGACACTAGGAATAAGATGATGGATGACATAGTCTCTGCCCTTAAGGGGTTCTTTTTAATGGAAAGAATAGGCAGATAAACAAATAATCACAACATGACATGATAACGGCTAGAACTGTGGGAGCATAGAAGGAGAGCAAGACTCATTCCATCTGGGTGAGTTGGTGGAGGAAGGCTTCTCTTCTATCAGCAGTTATCAAGATGTTCTGAACTCAGGATTTGCTGATTTGGGGAAGGGAAAACCTGAATGAATAGCTGTCCAACTCCTCCCTTCAGCACAAACACAGAAGCATAAATTATATGGCAGGCCAGGCACAGTGGCTCATGCCTGTAATCCCAGCACTTTGGGAGTTCGAGGTGGGCAGTTCATGTGAGGTCAGGAGTTTGAGACCAGCCTGCCCTACATGGCGAAACCC